GGAAAACGTAGTCTCTTTAGACGTACCCCTGATGGTCTCCGTGGAGTGTGGCCAGCGTTGGGGCTCATTAGAACCTGTGGATTTGTCATAAACAGTTCAACGTCTGTGTACATGTTTTGTTTTTGTGTCAACCACATTCGGCAGTTGAAAATGACAAACATCTGGCTCTGTAGTTCAGTGGTAAAATACTACCTTAGGGTGGTAGTGCCTCGGGTTCGATTCCCGACAGAGCCCCTCTTTTTGAGAGAGGAAGAGGGACGATGAACGTGGGTTCTTCAATCTAAAGAGACATCTTTTGTCACAGTTTCTATTTATTACAGACATAAATTCGATCACACGCTGAGAGAATACGGATCGAATTCGATCGATGCGATCTTCATCTCGATCATCTCATCTCTCTGAATACACCTCCTCTCCATCCTCTGTGCAATGTCGCTGAACGAAGGTCTCCTCTCTGCATCCGTGTCCGTGCAATCTTGAATTAAACCTCTGATGGACGTGTCCCACTTTGTCTCGACTTGTACTGAAGATATCCTCTTCGATTTCTCTCTACCGTTCACCTCCTCTCATTCAATTTCGACTCGTCATTCTTCACGGCGCACCTGCTTCTCTTCACACTTTCCGTCTGCAGCGATGAACTGCAGCAATAGACCGAAGCTCCACACGTCCGCGCTGATGTACTGTCTCTTCTTCTCGATCACCTCCGGTGCCTGCACCTTTCAGACTGATACTTTCATCTGATTTCACTCACGGTGAACAGTGATGAAAGGTTCCACTTGCTGCCGTTCTCGACTGCATGGCCCAAGCTGCCCACCTTGGCTAACATCGAATCGTTCGTGACGTGCAAGAAGACCTATCTGCGATCAGAAACATGAGATCGAATGATGAAGAACGATGTAGCTTACGTGTTGAGGTGTGAGGGCGGTGTGGACTAGATTGAGATCTGTCAAGTAAACCATGGCCCTCGACACGTCTCTTCCTCTGTTTCACAATCAGGAGAGAAGAGATGTTAATGAAATCACATCTGGAAGATAAATTGTGAGATGGAGTGTGTCGAGGAGTAGGAGAACAAACTGCCATCGTTCATCCATTCCATCATGATCCACTCTTCTGCTTCGTTTCAGATTGTATGACACACATCTCATCATAAATATCACCTGCCAGATTCTGACCCATGAACATGACGATGTTGGGGTGATGCATCGACTTTGTCGTCTCAGTCTTTACTTTGTGAACTCTTCTCTCTCTCACCTTCAACCTCGTCGCCTCTCGTAACAGTCTGTGATTGTCCCTCTCGATTTTCTTCACGGCAACGGTGGTTGTACCGTTGTACAGAGACTTCCACACACTTGTCTTCTTTTCATCGGATACGACTTGTAACCATTCGAGCTTTCCGTTCATATCTCCTTCGCTCTTGAGATCAAACTGACGTGGTTCATCAGTGACGAAATCATGATTCAAGTCACCTTTCTCATCGATGCACGGCGACGATAGAGGATGAACATCACAGATAAGAGGACGATGAAGCCTCCCGCGGCACAACAGACGATGATGATCAGCATCTTATGGTCTCCTCCTTCCTTTGATTCAACCTCATCACCTCCGATGGATTTGATCCTCTCGATACCGATGGAGAAATTGGTGAGATGGTTCGTCTGGCAGATCGTGATGTTACCATCGATGATGATCTGACATCCATCCCTAGACCATCTCACTTCCAGCTCGTTCCAATACTGACACACTGCATCTGAATATGATCGTCAAACGATGTGATTCCAAATGAACGAAAAGATCTCACAGTGATCATCAGGTATGGCACGGATGATGCCCATGGATATGTTGATGAGTTCGTTGCTACTTCTCACGTAGATCTCTCTCCCCTTGTCGTCATAGAGAGTGACTCCCGTGACTCCACTGTATCTAGGGATAGCGTCAGCGAAGGATGGATGTGGAGGATATCACATGGAATCGTTCGCGATGGATCGAAAAGGGTTGAAGTTCAACGATGAAAGAGCTACGGAAACTATCGTACGTCAGTGATGTGAATGAAATCGGATGTGCGTTCACCCCTCGTTGATGATTCCACGATCGATGCGGGGACAGTCACTCCGATAGTGCTATCAACGATGTGACTCGAGATGGATCGCACATCGACGATGTCATATGTCTGCAAGTTGATGGAAGCATTCACAGTGGTGTAAACAAACGATGACGTGTTATTACGCAGGATGGAAGAGATAACAGCAGATATGAGGTTGACCGACTGTCGTTCTTCAGCGTTACGATTCGATGCCAAGCTTACCTCCAGGCCCACACTCTTATTCAAACCCTCATTCAGCACATCCTATCAAATATCGTCAATCATCTTTGTGTCTCTTCTCTTCTTCTCACTCGAGCTTGTGACACAGATATCTTCGTGTTGTTATCGTACAGCTGATTGACATCGATTGAGGACTGTTTCGTGGTCGGCTGTGTCTCCGTCGTGGTCTGTACTGTTGATGTCTGTACTGTTGATCTCTGTACTGTTGATCTCTGTACTGTTGATCTCTGTACTGTTGATCTCTGTACTGTTGATGTCTGTACTGTTGATCTCTGTACTGATGATATCTGTGGCTCTGAAGATGCCTGTGTTTCTGTTAATTTCTGTGCTTCTCGTGATATCTGTACCATTATTGACGAAGTCTGTGACTCTGTTGAAGTCTGTCCAGTCCATGCAGGGCTGGAAATCCACGTCGTGGTCGTGATCGTGTTGATGCACTGGTAGTAGCAGTTGACCGATACATCGAGAGGTGGATCGCATGGAAAAGGATTGCCACCCAGATCACAGACATCCATCGTGTCGAGGTATCCCTCCACTGACGTCAAGTTGTTACTCCTCGCATCGAATTGTATCAATAAAGCCAAGTTCCCATCCCTGCCCGGTACATTTCCACCGAGAGAATTGAATTGTAGATGGAAATATTGCAGATTCGCCAGGTTCATCACGCTCTGCGGTATAGATCCACTCAATCGATTGTACGATAAGTAAAGAGAAGTGAGAAGTGAGCTTGAACCGATGGATGTTGGAATAGGACCGGTGAGAGAGTTGTTTGATAGAGAGAGATATCTAAGTGACGACATGTTGCCGATGGATGTCGAGATCGTGCCGCTGAGTCGATTGGTGGACACATCGATGGATTGCAATCGATTTAAAGTGGAGACGCAGGGGGGTAATGTACCACTGAGTTGATTGATCGATGCGTTCAGTGATGTGAGTAGGGTGAGATTGCACATCGACGATGGCATAGATCCCACGATGGCGTTCGAGCTGATGTCCAAGGCGGTGAGGTTGATGAGACGACCGATGGATGCGGAGATGGAGCCGTATAACGATCGATTTGACAAGTTGATTTGTACCGGCCACGTCAGAGTGGCATCACAGACGACTCCAATGAAATCGGTCGAGTTACAGATCTGGATGAGATGAGATGAGGAAACGTCCATCACGATGATGACGTCTCACGTATGATCCGTTCCACAGAGAAGGAGGTCCTGATGATCGCATGAGATCGACATAACATCATGATGTGCTCACCTCCGATGGATGTCCAGACGTCTCTCATCGAGTCGAGAGATGATGGATCGCTCGTGCACGGCCCGGCAGTGTAACTACAAGCAGCGGAAATATTCACGAGACAGGTCCTCAAGGGGTTGTTGCTCAGACTGCAAGTGGATGATGCAAAGATGTAACCCGATGTCGATGTGATGGCGTTGCCGCTCACGTCCAATTTCGAGATGGGGGATAGACTCGAATTTCTGGCGGGGAGTACGCCACTCAATTGATTCGTCTGCAGGTGAAGCATCTGAAGGTTCGGCAGGTCCATCATGGACGGGGAGATCGATCCCGACAGCTGATTGCGATCGAACTCGATCTGGCGGAGAGACGTGTTGAAGAGAGGAGGTATCGGCCCGGTGAAACGGTTCTGATAGAGGATGAGGGTGCTGAGCGATCTCAATTGGCCGATGGATGGATGAATGATGCCGCTCAGGGAGTTTGTGTTGAGAGCCAAGAGGTTGACGGAAGTGAGATTACCGAATGGTGGAAGAGTGCCACTGAGTTGATTCTGACTCAGATTGATGTATGATAAGGTGGATGAAGAGACAAAGAGGGTGCCCGGGATGGTTCCGGTGAGTCGATTCGAAGACAGATCGAGGTGGATGAGGAGCCGAGACGTGATGTTGCCGATGGAAGAAGGAATGGTGCCGGTCAGTTGATTCGCACTCAAGTCGAGGCTGGTGAGATTGACGAGGTTTTCAATGGACGATGGGATGGTGCCCGTTAGACTCCGACTCGGGAGGACGATCTGCACGGGCCAGCTTTTCGATGGATCGCATGTGACGCCGATGAAGTCTGTGGAATTACAGATCTGAGAACGCATCGTCAGCGCCGTCGATCGTATGATGGGTGATACACCAAAGGAGAGATGTTTACACTCACTTGTGTTCCCCTCCAATACTGCGGCGAACCTGTTTCATATTCAGGACGAAATACGGAGGCTTTGCAGAAAAGGAGTGCGATAGAAAGAGACTCACCTCCCAAGGTTGTCCATATCCCCTGCATGGTGGACAAAAGTTGGGCGTCGGTCGAGATCAACAAGAGTGCGAAGATGCATAATCGAAGGAAGAGCTCATTGAGATGAGTCATCAGTTCTATCGACAGCTTACGATGGTCGTGATGTGTCCGTGGAAATGTTCCGACCTCCATCGTTTTGGTCGTGTCAAGCGTCACGTCATCGTCATCCAGGACAAGCTTTCAACTGTAACGGTGGATCTGAATGAAATACGCCGATAAGCTTGTTCCGTATGTCTAAACGGGTCGTCACACCTTACCAAACTCTGAACCCTATACACCGGTGAGCTATACAACAACGATTTCCTTCCTGGCCTCCAGCGCAGTATAGAAAGATGAACAGACAGTTCATTCGCACTCTCAACAACGGTTCACTCGCGGTGACAAAAGATGTCTCTGGAGGGATTCGAACCCTCATCTATGCGGATTGATGGTGATCAAGAACTAATTCTGAGTTGCATGCTCTACCGTTGAGCTACAAAGACACCCGACAAAGCAGATAATTGTAACATCAGCATACACACATCCAACAAAAAGTTAAGTCTATATAGAAACTGTGACAAAAGATGTCTTAATGTAGACCCCGCGCGCTCATCTTCTCTTTCTCCGTGTTGAACTAGTAAAAGATGGGGCTCTGTCGGGAATCGAACCCGAGGCACTACCACCCTAAGGTAGTATTTTACCACTGAACTACAGAGCCAGTTGGTCGACTTTCGATCTGCAACTGATAGTACCAAAGTTCTTATCTCATCAATCGAAAATTAGTACACCCAAACACGGTTGTCATCGTGTCTGTTGCTATTAGCAACTCGGTTTGTTAACGTGAAAATTTTAAAAGGTATGAACTGGACAATAACAGAGGAGAATTATAATGAGACAGTATGTATTCCTCCCTTCACTTTTCGTTGGCGGGCATGAAAGTGAAACCCTCAAACTTCCTCTGGTTCTCAGCAGAGATGTTGGAAGAGGAAGTGGTGGGATCGCATATTGTGATCCTCTCTGATGTGAAGGTGGGGTCCACCATCGACGTGTCCGTCTGTCCCTTCTGTAGACGTGTCAGTCTTCATCGTTGACGGCGACATCATGAGGACGATATAGAGGATGGAGGTGTCGGTGGACTCACGACTGGAGGGATGAAAGGTACTGGGACCTCCTTGCGAAGCAGCTTCTCCCAGTCGATGTTGTGGAAGTAGGGGTGGTTCTGAAGAGGTGAGTTGTAGAAGGTAGATTGTCTCTCACCTTGATGGCCTTGGGGTCGGCGAGACGCTTGGCGGGCTCCCTCTCGAGTAACTGAGAGTTTCCTTTAGAACATGAAGATCATGATGTCGCTGATGATGTGATGGTGGACGTGATGATGATGATGGTGATGATGAGCTCACTCCGTTGAGAATGCTTCTGGTGTCTTCGTTGTCGAGGGTATCAGGGAACTCCAACTTTGCGTGCATGATCTTGAAGTACATCTGCTGGACGTCCTGGCTGTAGAAGGGAGGCTGGGTTAGGTCAGTTCCCGCGCAAATTTTCCCGGAATCCTCTCACCAGACCGGTCAACATCTCGAACATGAGAGTACCGAACGACCACCAGTCGATGGCTTTGGTGTAACCCTTGCCCTGAAGAACCTCGGGAGCTGTCATGATGTCAGCGACGTCTAAAGACGATGATGATGAGTCACCGAGATATTCGGGTGTTCCACAGAAGGTGGCAGTGCGGGCGTCGTCGGCCTCTAGTCCCTCCTTGGAGATTCCAAAGTCGGTCAAGATGATGTGTCCCTCGTCAGTCAGTAGAATGTTCTCAGGCTGAAGTGATTCAGTACAAGCTTCTTAGATGAAGAGAAGAGAAGAGAGTAAGAGAAAAAAGTCGAACCTTGAGATCACGGTAAATGACACCCGAGTTGTGAAGGTATTCGAGACCAAGGACAATCTCAGCGCAGTAGAAACGAACTCTGTCGGGAGTAAACTTCTGTTCCTTCTGGAGGTGGTAGAAGAGCTGCGACATCATCAGCATGCATGCATGGTGTCGCGTCTATCACCTCTCCTCCGTTGATAAAGTCCATGACGAAATAGAGCTTGTCGGGGGTGTGGAAAGAGTAGATGAGATTGACCAAGAATGGATGGGCCAACTTCTGCAGGATACTCTTTTCGGTGCGAGTGTGTTCGAGCTCTCTGTTCTCCAAGATGTTCTTCTTGTTGAGGACCTGTGACGGAATCAGATATGGAATGACTGATGGACCTTCACCTTCATGGCGTAGATCTTTCCACTGTCCTTCTTTCTGACTTGGATAACCTTCGGATCGATCAACATGGGGTTCTGTATGTTCCTGGTATTACCTTTCCAAAAGATCCTTTACCGATAACGGATAAGAGGTCGAAATCCTGTACTCCGATAGTCTTGTTGCTGGACTTGTTGGCACTGGCCTGTCGGCATCGTTTAGAATGAGAGATTCATTGTGTCATTGAGAACTCACGAGACTCTGCTTGATGGCAGACACCCAGCCGTCCATCTCCTTCTCACTGGAGGCTTGGAAGTAGTATGTTCTCTGAGGCGTTGCAACTTCGAAACAAAACTTCTTTCCCTTTCTCTGGCTGACCTACGGAGATGTTAGAGGTCACATATCTCGATTGCGTCCAAATACCTGAATGTTCTCGGGGGCAAGGTTGGAAACACGGACTACTCCAAGCTCACCGCTCGTCTATGGGGTTTCAGTCACCATCCTACAGTCCATTTCAATGGAACTCACCTGGTTCTTCGAGTAATAGATAACTCCATCCTTCAAAACGAACCATCTCTTGTGCCAAGTCTTGAAGTTTCCACCCTCTTTAACCAAGTATCCTGAGCGATCCGACATGTTGCTTTTTAGAGGATGAGTAAGAATGAAATCGGGTGTAGAGGAAACATGCCCCTTGACATCCGCGCTGACGTCCCGCTCGGTGTTGTCATCAAACAAACTACTCAGCCAGCCTCCACAAGAGTCCTATGGGTATAGAGGACAACAACAGCTGCATCCACTTCTGAAGAGCAGCTCAGTCGATGCAACGTGAAGAGACGCTCGCATTCGTTCGTATCGTAACGAGAACAATAATAGATAGAGATCCCGGAGGCTAAGATGAGAAGTTGGATGAGTGAGTGGGAGGAAGAAGGTATCTGTGGTATCAGAGCTGCATCTGTCCCCTGACAACGATGGATAGAAGGTCAAAAGACATCTCATACGAGATGATGTGACGATAGATGTATATCCAACCATCATGATCGAGAGGACACCACAACTCCACCCTCTGACTCCTCTTCCATCTCACACCCTTCCAACAACAATAAAACACATTTTCGATCCTTTTAAAAGTTTTTCGCCACATAGAGTCCACGGTTGTCCGAGCAGCAGAGGAGGGTGAGACCGAACGGATCTACATCAAAGGAATTGATGGAAGAGCCTCTGTCTTCCCAATGGATGATCTCCTTCACGTGCATCATCTTCTGATCGACTTCGAAGCCGCGACGCTCTTCGAGGAGGGACACGTTCTTTCTGAAGTCTGCGGAGATCAGGATGAGGTGATGGAGGTGATGTGATGGGAGGTGATGAAAGGGTGATGTCAGTGGATGATGATGATGATGATGACAAGATCGTGACCCACTCCATAGATACAAGTTACCATCGTGGGAAGAGCTGAAGAGCAGATCTGGATTGTTCACGGAGAATTGTAGTTCCCACACTGTATCATTCAATCGACGTCTCACGAGTTATCTCACCGTCCGATTCGTTGCACTTGATGGCATTTATGGGTGACGTTGGGTTTCGTTGATCCCTAAAGCCAATCATTATGTTGTGCATCGTTCAGATTTCTCATCAGATGACTTCGACTCAATATTATACGATATGGTATGATGTTGGATTCTGTCTGTTACATGTATGCACTGTGATGATCGATTGTCCATCGAGATGAATCGTTACCAGATGTAGATGCTGCCTCTATCTGTTCCAATGGCAAACAGATCGGGCTCTCTCTGATGTTGCGTCACACACCTCGCCACCTCTCCCCTGCACCCTTCAGTTCATCTACAACGAGCCACTCCACTCACATGAGGTCTGAACTACCTCCTTGTAGGACGGTTCTGGGCTTCTTCAAATTCTCTCTCGTGTCCCAGATGTGTGCGCACTTGGCCAAGCTTGCCGTGAGGATGTCACTCGTTGTCGTCTGTAAGAGGCAGCCCACGGCCGTTGGCTCGGCCTGGAAGGTCGTGATGTGAGAGAGTCCGTTGAGGTCGTAGAGCGAGACCGTTCCGTCTTCTGATCCGCTCGCGATCTGGAAGGATGAGGAGAAGATGGGCGAGATGATATCGTGTGATTCGATGGTGGAGTTGAGATGCATGTGGATTTTGGATGAAGAGAAAGGTAAGTGGGAATATGAGACGTACGGGCGACGTGAAATCACGATGGAGATGTGATTCACTTAGTTTGATAGAGCGAACCTACCTGAAGTGTTCTGGGATAGACAGAGAGACTCGTTGCATATCCTTTGTGTGCTTGAACGTGTCCTCTCGATTGTAATTTTGCCTCAACATCCAACACAGCCAGATGAACTCGTCCATTAGAATTATTCCACACGATCAACGAGTCTGGCCTCGCTTCCTCCTCCACTACCTTGAGATCGACCACCTGCACCAATGTCATTTGTGACAAATTGGACGTGATCTGATATAGTTACCTGTCCTCCAGCATCGACAGAAGAGATCTTGTGAACGTCCAATAACGGTCCATTATTATCGGTTGATGGAACAGAATATACGGAGACTTCATTGGGCGATGCATCCCACGAACCCGTGACTGCAACCAAAGGTAAAGAAGCAGATAGAGAGGAAGAGGCGAGGCTAGATTCTATCGTGTTCTGAAGGTGAATCCGTCCCGCCGTTTGTCTCATCCTCTGACTCTTGACCAATCTGACTCGATTGATCTTTCTAGGGAGTGTGTACGCGGACAAGGATATACCTCCTTCTATCTCCATCACCATCTCGTCTCTCCTTATAATCGTATCGTGCGTCAAAGATGATGATCATCCCACAAAAAGGCGAGCGTTGTAGAGGCCCACAGACCTCATACCCGGGTTGGGCCGTAGGACCCTCCATATATCTTCTATATCGGTGAGAGCTCAGGCCACAAGGGAAGCAGATGATGAACTCTGACCCACACGGTGCTGGACCGCCACCATCGGCGAACTCCAGTTTTTTGGAGACGAATCAGGAGAATCGATTGTTCCACAACGACATCGTGATGGAAGCATTATCTTTGAAGGGTCTTTTGAGCAGGTGAGAAATAAGTGTGGGGGATCGTCATCGATTGATGTCTACAAGAGCGGAGCTGGCCGAACATGTTGCCATGTTGGATCAGCAGCACGAACAACCTCAATCACAACATCATCCACAGACCATCAATTTTGAGAGGTGCAGTTTCATACTTTCATATACTCATCATCGATGTCTCATTATTTATCTATTTAC